ATGTGGCCATCGCTGCCTCGGTGCACCCAGATAGTAATGTCGTCGGTGTAGATTGAGTGCCGGACGTCTTCAATTGCTTGCAGTTTTTTAGCGAGCCCAATCATGACTAGGTTAAAGAGTATGGGCGAGATTAGCGATCCTTGTGGTGTGCCAGTGCTTCCCAACGTTTGCTTTTCTAGTTGGAGGTCTCCTACACGGGAAAACTTACCCGGCCCGGACACTGGGAGGATTGTCTCCTGTCACCAGAACGGCTCACCTGTCCGTCAAAAAACTTTTTACGTAGTTGTACGCACGTAGACCGAGGTGTTGTCGAGATATTTGGCGCAGTATCGCCGAGTGCTCGATTTTATCAAACGCGCTCTCGAGGTCGAGGCCAATAATTGCTCTGGTCCCTTTCGTGTTGCCATCGAGTATGCGATGTTTCAACTGTAGCATTGCATCTTGTGTGGATAACTATGGGCGGAATACGATGATCGTTGATGGATATGCTCCTTTGTGCTCTAGATAGGCTTGCCAGCGGTTAAGTAGAGCGTGCTCAATAGCCTTGCCCACACACGACGTCAGCGATATGGGGCGAAGATTGTCGATGCTCGGCGCTTTTTCGGGTTTGGGGATAAGGAGAATTCTCGCAGTTTTCCACTGTTCCGGCAGGCAACTTTGCTGCCAGCAGTCATTCATGTATTCCGTCAACCGCTGCACGGATCGGTCGTCAAGATTTTTTATAGCACGATTCGACACCCTATCTAGACCCGGCGCCGATCTGCTGTTGAGACTGTGCAGCACCGTCCTGATCTCTTTTACGCTGAAGTCCTTATCCAGACCTCGTGGGTGTGCGGTGATTTTTTTTTTTCCAGTTGGTTGATGATGATCTCAGAAAACCTGTATTTGGAAGCGGCGCGAAGCCATGACGACAGGAGGTGAGCCCGAAAACATTATGGCTCACTCCGCGTAACCTTCGCAAGCCAAATCTCTTTGCAATCCTCTTCGGCATCCAAACAAATGGTCACATGCGCATCACGTTCCTGAGCAAGCCAAACATCAGAGCACGCGAACAGTGTCGTTTCGTTCACCACCATTACTTTGTGGTCCATATACTGCTTGTTTGTGTGGAGGAAAGCGCGCGAGCCTCATCAGTCTGGCCATGGTTCGGGATGGATGCCTAGGTGCGCGCTTGTTTGGAAACGCTAGCTTATAGGCACGGTAGAATATATCAGCATATTGAGTGCTCAAACGCAGAGGACCAATAATTTCGTTTCCAGGGCTGACGTCTGCTCGATGAGCTAATCGCCAGGACACGCACGCATGCAAAACGCAGGCGCATTAGCCCCGCATGTCGTTGCAATTCACGGGAAAACATTAAAAGTTACACCATCTTCCGAAGGGGACAATGCCGTAATGCGGAACGTCGCGGCTGGGCAGCGCGAGCAGTCGGTTCTTAAATGCGAATCATTTTTTACCGAACTTCGGCGACTTTGAGCGTATCTATCTATCTATCTATCTATCTATCTATCTATCTATCTATCTATCTATCTATCTATCTATCTATCTATCTATCTATCTATCTATCTATCTATCTATCTATCTATCTATCTATCTATCTATCTATCTATCTATCTATCTATCTATCTATCTATCCAGCCACCTACAACTTTCAGCTCTTCTGGCCGTTTGGGTAATGGTATCGATACCCAACTTGGTATGGCATAACATTACTGTATGAAAAGCATATCTGACTAGTCATAACATGAGAATCATGACATGTATTTCATGAATGTCATGATTTACATTTTATGGTCTTGCTGCTCTTGCCGTGGTTTCATTCACATGACATGTTGCAAAACTGGTATGGTAAGACATGATTGCATGGCAAAAACAAGCGATGGACCCTAACAAGAAAATCATGACATGGGTGTAATGCAACAACATGACTACATGCCATGCTCATGATGCGCTCATGGCCATTTCACTAGCGTCACATATACCGAACTTCATATTACGGTACGCACATAGATGACGAAGGTATGTGACTGGTGCGCACATAATAATCCCGGTATGCGTGTCATGTAACATGACTACATGCTGCGTCCATGATGCGCTCGCGGCCGTTTTCGCTAGCTTCACATGCGCCAGATTCGGTATTACGTGACGCGAACAGACGACCTAGGTAAATAACACATCCAAACATGATAATCGTGACATACGTGTCATGTAACAACATGACTACATGCCACACTCATGACGCGCTCGCGGCCATATGTCAAATTTGGTATTACGTGACGTCAATGATTGCGAAAGCATGTGACTGGTGCAAACATTATAATCATGAGACGCGTGTCATATGAGAACATGACTACATGTCACACTCAAGGCGCCAATACATTTCGACGTGGCCTGGTGCGCGTGCGCACCGGCGTTCCTTTCGTCGCGTCCCGCCGTCGTTGCCACGCCAGGCGCCGGTGCCACCATATACTCGCCGGCGCGCGCCGTGCTGCGTTGTTTTGACGCATGCGCGTTTCAGCACATGCGGCGTCCTTCCGTTACGAAAAGATACAGACGCAGTGTTGTTTGGGTAACGTATGTTCACGAAATGTAGCATGTCGAATTTCCCGCCGGTTGCCGTCGGGCTGCGCCCACGGATGCTTGTAGCGCCTGGCGTCAGATTATAGAGTGCTCGCGTTTTGCTAATGTAGCGTCACTGTGCCCAGTGTGCGTGCATGTCAGCGTTACGTTGGAGTATAATCGGCCTTTCACGATGCGCTCGCGGCCATTTCGCTAGCTTCACATATACCAAATTTGGTATTACGTAACGTCAGTGAATGACTAAGGTATATGACTGGTGCAAACATGATAATCATGGCACGCGTGTCATGTAGAAACATGACATCATTCATAGCGTTCATAGCGTGCTCGCGGCCGTTTCGCTAGCTCCACATATACTAATTTTAGCATAACATGACGTGAATAGATGATGAAAGTAAACGACACATCCCAACATGATAATCATGACACGGAAGTCGTGTACGGAATAATTTACCTCTACCTCGTAACGTTGTAGTGATTTTAAGGTGACATATCAACCTTCCTCATTTGCGCTTCGCATGTCATCGACTGCCACTGTACGTGGGATCTGCCTTTTTTTCTTTTTCAATTGAGAAACTCGCTGACGTTGCCTGAGTCGGCTTTGAGAAACGCCGTGGGGAGGAGTGCCTTGAGGAGAGGCTAGAGAGAGCGTAGGTTAGCAGACACTCCTTGTGTAGGCGTTGCGAGAGGGTGCATGTTAAAGAACCCCAGGTGGTCGAAATTTTCGGAGCCCTCCACTATGGCGTCTCTCATAATCATATGGTGGTTTTGGGACGTTAAACCCCACATATCAATCATTGAGGCAGCAGAGGAAGGCGAAGGAGAGGAGGGAGAGGGAAGGGTGCGCCATGTGCAATGGGGAAGCGAGCGCAAGTAGGTGTAGGAGACAAGTGGAATGATTAATGCGCAGCTGTTAGAGAGAGAGGATGGGTTTCAATACTCACTGTAGACGGCTAAATAATAGACAGCTTCGAGAAGACCGCATCGTAGATTACTGCGATGCAGGCTACTTTGCTGTCTAAACAAGATGGCGGCTCAGCGAATCGCTCAGATAGATCAGATCTCGCCGGAATGGTTGTCTGCACACAAGCATACGCTTCTCCAGCAACTAAATGTAAGTAAAGTTTAATTTTTTTAGAATTCAATACTAAATAAGCCAGAAAATAAAACTGTTAAGTTTGTTTATATTAGCTTTTTTTCTTCTCGTCATGAGATGGCGCATCGTCACGTAAAAGCCGTCCAGAAGTGTTCCAATCCTCGGACAGCATGGGTTTGGTGCTGTCTTGTAAGCAGTCTGCGTAGACTGTCTACGTGCTGTCTAAGAACTGGAACACAGCTAGAAAAAAAGGAGAGTTGTGCATGGCTAGTGTGAGTGCGAACCACGTGGTGTTTGTATCATATACCGTGGTGCGAACTATGGACGCGTGACTTAAGCCCGAGCCAGAGATGCTCCGCATCCAAAAGACGCACACATTTCCTTTTTGCGTCTCATTATTTAACCAGCGTTTGCTATCTATTCAAGCAACCATTTGCACAATATATGAATGCCATGTGATATAATTTTAGGCATGTGACGTGCCCATGTTGGTGAAGTCAGAGCGCAGTCGTCTACCTGGAGGACTGACGTCACAGCACTATGTCTACGCTATGTCTACGCCATGCGTCTATGCCTACGTCTACATCTATGGCCCTCATTTTTCTGGACGCGCTCCCGCGAAAGGAAGGATAAGCAGCGTTCATCTTAAAATTTATCGCTTCCAAGGCCCGTAGCGTTGAAAACTTTGGCAGACGTGATCGTGAACGCCCCATGTATGCGTTGTGCTCGTCAGCTCAAAATCATCAAACCCGGTGAGGGGCCCTTTTTAAGCTAACTGCGAAAGTATGACAGAACACACGAAATTTGATTTAAATATATTTGCAGTTTTGCGCCACAAAACAAACAAGCGGACCACTGATGCGACACAGGATTCTGCATAATGCAGCCCATTTGTGCTTACTTCTATGAGTTTATTTTCCCAAAACACAGAGAAGTCATTGCAGCATTCAGAATAAGAAATTGAAAAATAAACCCGTTCTCCAACTGCTTTCAACAGGTTTCCAATAGAGTCATTGTTTAACTAACTGAAAAAACGAAACCACCCGTCCAGTAGCGCCACTAATACTAACCACGCAGTTCAAAACGAAAGTGATGTTAAAGTATTTTGTTTTTCATTTTACTACAACAGTCAGCAAGGACATCCAGCGAAAGTGCAGAAAATTTGACAGATAAAATAAAAAAACGAAGTCTTATTTAGTTAACGCGCGAATTACCCTGCGTTTAGTTTCTAAAATGTCACGTTCGCGAAGGTTAACGGAAAAAGAATCGTCATTAGCATCTTGCTCGTTGCAGCAAAGGTTGGAAGCCCCCGTGCGCATGAACCATGTCTGGTGTCAGTGAAGCGTTAAGTAAGTTGAGCTTCAGCAGCAGCAGCAGCAGCTCCGATGATTCCAGCCCAAGCGCCTTGTCCATAGGCGACAGGGTCTGCGAAATCCGCGATGTTTGGGCCTCCAACCTCGTGGAAGAGTTCTACACCATCAGGCGCCTGGTACAAAAATACAAGTACATCGCAATGGATACCGAGTTCCCTGGCGTCGTAACGCAGCCCGTTGGAACATTCCGAAGCCTCACCGACTATCAATACCAAATGATGCGTTGCAATGTGGACTTGCTCAAGATTATCCAGCTGGGAATCACCTTTTTTGACGAGCATGGTAACAAGCCAGAAGACATCTCTACCTGGCAGTTCAACTTCAAGTTTTCCTTGTCGAAAGACAGGTTCGCACAAGACTCCATTGACCTCCTGGTCAAGTCCGGTATAAAGTTTCGCAGGCATGAAGTGGAAGGCATCGAGCCGTATGAGTTTGCCCAGTTAATGATGGTTTCAGGACTCGTTTTATTAGACGATGTTAAGTGGCTCACTTTTCACAGTGGCTACGACTTCGGCTACCTGTTGGAGATGCTTACCGGTGAAAACCTGCCCGTGGCTGAGACAGAATTTTTTGAGGTACTAAAACTTTATTTTCCATGCATTTACGACGTAAAGTACCTGATGAAGAGTTGCGGAAATCTCAGAGGAGGCCTGCAGGAAGTGGCTGAGCAGCTCCAGATCGAAAGGGTTGGATTACAACACCAAGCGGGAAGCGACAGCTTGCTTACCGGGGCGACCTTTTTCAAGATCCGAAAAGTGTTTTTCCAGGACAAGCTGGACGACGCAAAGTTCTGCGGTGTCTTGTACGGTCTGGGCGCCTCTTACGGCACGTATGGCGACCAAACGTTCGAAGTTCACGCAAGTGCAAACCATATTGCTCAGATGCTATCGAGGTCCCCTTTGGCCGTCTATTCGACACCGGTCTCCAGGAACGCCGTGAACTGAACGCTTAAGGAGTCTTGCCGCAAGTGGACTCATGTTTTACAAACATTTGCGTTCTCATTTTCCACTGACACATTTTGCATTGCTACATGTTCCTTCAGCTGACTTGTATATATGTCATATTTTTCAGAACTTCTCCATATTGTTTTGTACGTTGTATGTCGTGCCACTGCCATTATACATATCGCGTTTTTTTTGTTGATCCGTAGTTTTCTATTCGAGTTTGGACGCTAAAAACACTTAGCGGATATTCGAGTGATCGTAAGTGCATGCATTTCATTGATCTCCAGCTTCAAGCTGCATTATGCCTTTATCTGCCTATATAACTTTCGTAATAAAGTATAACTAGTCACAGCGGGGTAGCTCTCGGACTTTTTTTTTCATTTTGTCATAAGCAGAGAGAGGGAGCGCTAGCACCGTGATCCTTCAATGTGAGGAAGCGTTAACGATCCTTGTGTGCAGAGTGTATATATATCTTAGTGCAAAACTTTGTTACAGAAGATGTCATCCATTACATCTGTAGTGTCTGCAAGATTAATGGGCCACTCACCAGACCCCATACCGAATTTTAGTTAGACAGTGGAGGTTGTTGGGTGTCCGATGAGGAACACTTTGCCACAAAAATTTTTCGAATCAACTCATCACGAGCGGAGAAAACAGGTTTTTTTGAAGCGGCGTGAAACAAAGATGACAGGAGGCGAGCTCGAAACCCTTGCCACTCCTCCGCGTAGCCTTCGCATGCCAAATCTCTTACCCATCCTCTCCAGCATCCAACCATGAGGTGACGTGTGCATGACGTGCACGAAAAATTCCAACCTCCGGGCATCGAGCAGCGTTACTTTGTTGGCCGGCGTTATTTTGTGGTCTTCTGCCTGTTTCTGCGGGATGGTTTGGAAACGCTGGCTTAGACGCGGTAGAGTAGATGAGCACAATGAGTGCGCGAATGCGTAGGAGCGTTTCACGGTGGTCGTCTGCTCAATGCGCTGACCGCGGGGACACGAACGCATGCGAAACGCTGGCACATTAGCCCCGCATCTCGTGGCGTTTTACGGAGAAAAATGAAAAAAAGGCGCATAATTTTTATTGCGTCTCATTATTTATTTCAAGTTTTATTAATCTTTTAAAGCAACAAATACATAATCTACGCATCTTATTAGATGCGGATAATCTAATACTCGAGGCTTGTAGTGCGGCGCCGTCCACAAGCTTCCTCCTCCTTCTTCCACCATCTGTGCATCCCTTCCTCCTCTACACACCGCGCGCGCTTCACTCCTCCACCATCTGTGCACCCTTCCTCCTCTACACACCGCGTGCGCTTCTCCTCTTCACGAACATTCGCTAGCTGTATAATGTAGCGCGCATGCGCCATCACGCTTCGAGAACATCGGCAGCTGACGCGCGCGCATGCGCCGTCGCACTTCGAGAACATCGGCAGCTGACGCGCGCGCATGCGCCGTTGCGCTTCTCCCCCTTCTCGAACATTCGACAGCTGACAGTGCATGCGCCGTCGCGCTGTATATATACTCAAGGTCGGTGCTCGCTCACTCAGTTGCCGCTCGTCGGTTGGTTTGTACGGCGCGTCGACGTCCGAGGTCGCAATGATCGACGTCCCTTCGACCAGCGCCGGCCAAAGTGTTGGCGGAACCGCAACCAAGTCGTCGTCCGAAGACAAGGCAGCGCGGAGAAGAGCTCGCGACGCCGAACGTAAACGTCGGCGTCGAGCGGAAGATTCTCAACTTAGAGAACGTGAAGCCGCTGAGAGACGTCAGCGTCGAGCAGCAGCACCGGATTCGGCCGCTTTGAAACGTAAGCGTCGACAAGAGGACCCGGACTTTCGAAAACGGGAAGCCGAGTGCAAGCGTCGGCGACGAGAGGCCGATCCCGATGCTGCCCGCGAGCGCAAGCGCGCCGAGGTAGCGGCGTGGCGCGCCAAGCAGTATGCCACGCCCAACGCTCGCTTCAAGCGCGACTTCCTCGACCGAAGCTTCGGCCACACCTGCAAGGTGTGTGATCGTCTTTGGTTCGATAACAACTTAACTCGGATCGGCAACATTCAGAACAACTCCAAAGCGTTGTCGGTTCTTTGCGATACGTTTGGAAAGGGCACCGACTATGCCGACTACGTCGTGTGTGCTACGTGCAAGCAGTCGTTGATTGCCGGTCGAGTTCCCTCGGCTAGCGTGAGTTACAGCTACCGCTACCCGCCCCGACCCGAACATCTACCCGAGTTGAACGCGGTTGAAGAACGACTCATCGCTCCTCGACTCCCGTTCATGAGTATACGACGCTTGACTCACGGCAACGGACAGTACGGAATCAAGGGCCAGATCGTGAACGTTCCCATCCAAGTTCCCACTGTCGTTAGGTGCTTGCCTCGCAACATCCCCGACGACGCGGCCATCGACGTTCACATCAAACGAAAATTGGTGAGCAAGTCGACGTATAAGCACGGTTTGGTCAAGCGCAGCAACATACACGCTTGGCTAAAACACTTGGAAAACACTCCGCTGTACAAACACCTCAACGTTCACATAGACTGGAGCCGACTCGAACGTTTCGACGATGACGATGCAGTAGGCACCTATGACGACGACGAAATCGAAGCTCTTCCCGAAATCATCGACTTGGACGACCCCATGCAGGCTGCCATTGATTGCCCTGAATGCCGTCAGCCGTACGTTGGTGTACGACGACATGGGAGTCGGCGGTGCTGAAGGAGAAGCGGCGGACGAAATGGTGGTGAGCGATGAAGACGCTAGCAAACTCGTGGACAACACGTACAGCTTGCACGTCGCCCCGGGTGAAAACAAGGTTCCCATCGCTCTCTTCTTTCACTCATTTAACACCCCATTTCACAACCACATTAACCAATTTAGCCATCGACCCAAGTAAGCCGCACTTTAACACCCCGTTAACCAATTATATGCTCCGCATCCTCCTCAGTGTTCCCCCGAGGGAAGCTGCGGGCAATTTTTTTTTAATGATTTTTGCCATGTTACGTGGTATACTGTTGAGAACGTCAGAGCAGAGTCGTCTACGTTGAGGACCAACGTTATTGCATTGCCGTGTACATTGGGCCATTCATACGCCCACGTCACGCCTCTATTGTGTGCGCCGGCAGAGAGGAGGGGGAGCTGCGTTCATCTTGATATTTGACTCATTTCCACGGCGCGTAGCGTTGCAAAGTTTGGCAGACGTGATCACGAACGCATCATCTACGCATTGCGCTTGTCAGCTCAAAATTGTCAAACCTGGTGAGTGGCCCTTTAAGGCATAATCCTCAGCGTCAGCACGAACCTCGCTTGAGGAGAGGGAGAAGGGGGGGGGGGGCGTTCCCGAGTGAGCCACTAGATGGCGCAGCACGAAGCAGAATTACAGTCGCCGTGTATTAACAAATCTTCTCGTTCAGCTTGTTGCTAACTCTTTATATTGTCGGTACTTTCCATGGCCACCAGGGGGCCAGGGAGTTCGGATGTGCCTCGCATCAGCTCCGCGGAAAGTTGTTTGGTCTGGTGGAAATTGTGCAGTTACAGCAAACAACTCCTATAATCTCCTGCCTGAAGTTCTCTGGACCATCTAGACCACGACTTCAGGACTGTGAGTACGTTTTGGGGCATTTTATGGCTATTTTGGTGTCGACTGCGTCTCCGCCCAGCAAAGCCTAACGCTAGCGGTGAACAAACGCGGCGGCTCGGCGGTGGCCGACGCCCCCGGCGTTCGCTTCAGAGCCCCGTTGTGGAGACGCGACGGCAATGGAGGTGACCATGGAGGGTACTGAAATTACCCCTGAAGAATTTAGAACCGCTGACTGGATCACGAAAGTTGGAAAACATGTTAAAGAGCTGCGTGACGCCGCTAGAGGTGACAGACAGGGACGCCAAGATGGCAACGCCCGGGCAGAAAGTGGAACCGAGCCCGGTGAAGACAGGAAGAAGACGGCGGCTGCGAACGCAGCATACAAAAAGCTGGGGCACAAGATCGCGGAGCGCTCGATTGCGTCGTACCTACCGCGGTTGCCGGCGAACGACTACAAGATAATCATTCGTCCGAAGTGCGGGCTGGCGCTCACAAAAATTCCGAACACCAGGCTCAGTGAGGCGGTGCGCATGGCAGCGCAAATTCCGTGGATTAAGGGACAAGAAAAGGAAGTGTTCATTGTTAACGACAAGCAAGGCACCCTGATTTTCAGCACTCCAGACATAGGCACTGTCTGGAAGGTGACCAGGTGTGATGGTTAAGGGACGTTCGTCACTATGTTTGCTTATAGCGGACGAGGAAGGATTAACATGAACTTTTTATTTCATGGCATGGGTGGAACGGCTGACGGCGAACGGATACGCTACCGTGTGCTGCGCCGTTGAGTCGGACGTCGCGGCCAACCCAGCAGTCAGGGTCGCAACTCCGGAAGTTTAGGATCAGGCCACGGCTCACGAGGACCACACCCGGGAGGCCTCGCCCACGAACCTGCTCCCGGCCACTGCACCCAGGCAGGAGCCATTCGGCAGGTCTCGGCCTTGGACATTGAACAGACACACCGGAGCTCGTCCTGGCCGACACGTACGGGTCTCACGTCCGGCTCACGAACGCTGCCAGGATCTCGTCCTCTTGAGCGGCGCACTGCTTCGTCTGCCTTCGTGGCGGCCTCCACCCTCGAGCTCTCTTTTCCGCACGTTCCTTCTTGGCCAGGGCACCGCCAGGTACCCTTGGGTGCACACTGCAGCTTATGAGCTCGTGGCCCACGTCCGAGTTTGGCGCATCACTCGGCACCGCTCGGTGATCCTAGATTCAGCCAGCAACTTCCCTGGCACTGGATCCTCGGCCACCCTGGACCTCGCCCGGTTCCGTGCTCCTCTGTGCGCACTCCCGCATCTCGCCCGGCAGAACGTCTCGCTCGTCCCTTGCCGAAGTGCGACGCTCTCGTGACACCGGCGCTTGATGGCATGGGTGCGGCCACGGAGCAGTCAACCCGCATCGGAGACGCGATGCTCCATGCGGGGCATGGC